AAAGACAAATAATAATAATAATAATAATAATAATAATGAAAATTTAAAAATAAAATAAAATAACTGAAAAGGATTCAGTGGTCCCTAAATGTATGCTATCACTTTGTTTTAAAAAAAAAAAAAAAGGAACCATTTTTAATTCTTTTTGAGGTCAAACTTACTACTTATTTTCCCTAAAATATGATATTCTTAGTCATGTTTAAGGATACCTAAAACACAGAGGGCCCCTGTTTCTGGGAGCTAAAGGATATGTGTGCACCCTGAAATGGCATCCAAAAAGTTGGTCTGGGCATATAAAATATTTTATTCAAAGTCTACTTTATGAGATAAAATGTAGTACAAATTGAATCTTTTTATAAAAATTTAAAAGGCTTTGGGGCTGGGGATTTAGCTCAGTGGCATAAGCGCCTGCCTAACAAGTGCAAGGTTGTGAGTTCAATCCCCAGTACCGCAAAAAAAATAAATAAATAAATAAATAAATAAATAAATAAGAAAAAAAAATTTAAAAGGCTTTGAAAAGCTAAATAATTTTTAAATTAAATATTAGTCAGGCCTGGCGTGTAACTCAATGGTAGAGAAAACACTTGTCTGACATGCACAGTACCACAAAAAAAATGTTAAAGATCATCTGTCTGCAATTTATGACAAAATTTTGTCTCTAATTTCATTTTTGTTTTTCCATTTGTAGTACCCCTGTACTCCAACATTATTAAATGGTCATCTTTCCCCCAGGGAATAAAAAGATTTATTTATCTTATATTCTTTCATATAACTATTATCTAGATTTTTTTTGTTGATGTAGCTTATTTATACCTTCATTATCGTATTATCAACATAAACACCACACTGTTTTACATACTGGCACTAAATTATCTCCGTTCTATCACTACCAGCCATGACCTCATTTAACCTAAACTCAGTTTCAAGAATTAAACATATGGAAAATCTAAGTTAAGCAGTATCTTTACTCCACACTTCACACAAAACAGACATTAAATATCAATACCATAATACATGATGGAATTGGATCTGGGCAAAAATTAGTGATACTAAGAAGTTACTTGGTGTTTTAAAAACACAACAAAACTTATCTTTTATTTATTTGTTTGTTTGTTTGTTTTTATGTATGTATGTATTTGTATGCTCAAGCTCCAAGGCAACTGGTCCCTGTGTGGAAGTTATTCAGATTCTGGAAAATGTCCTTTCCCCTGGGCTGATGATGCAAAGACAGGAAGGAACAAAGAGTAGCTTATGAAGGGAGTTTCAGAAAAGGAGACTAGGTCAAACAAAAAGAGCTAGCCTCTCTTATAGATCCCACTGGAAGGACCTAATAGCCTGCTGTTCCCAGTTGCTTAGCAACAGCCAAATGCATAAAAACGAAGGACACCAAACACATCACAACATTGGGCCATCACTCTTATTCCTACATTTATTATTTCCATGTTGCACCAAAGTTAAATAGAAGATGAATGTGTTTGACTTCCAAAAAGTAAGCTGACCACATAGTGAAGGCATAAAAACAGAGTAGGTATCTCAGAAAGGAATATACAGACACAGATATACATGCCTACAGCTGAATTCCAAGGGCAATAGAGTCCTTCCATTTAATGTAGCAAGTACTTGTACGTGCTGCAGAGACTGTGTGCAAGAGTATGAGCCAGCCCATATCCTTGGGAAATTAATCATTTCCTAAGGAGGAGGCACATTTGCAAATAACTGCAACAAAAGGCAAAATTCAGGTCACAACTGAGGAAACACGTCTTATATTTCCTTAAACATGGAGAACATTAAAGTTCAGTGATCATTCCAAAAAAGGCTGCAGTGAAGAGGTACATGTGAATTAACCTTTAAAAGTTAAACACACAAAAAAGAAAGGTACATCTAGTGATAAGAGACTTTTGAAAGGTACATGTAGGGATAAGAGAGTATTTTTCAGAATGTCAAAGAAACATCACACATGCTCATAACAAGAAAATCCAAATTCACTGAAACATACGCCTGTACTAGAATGGAAACAGGAAAATATAAAGCTGTTGCCAGACTGTAGAGGTTTTTGGATGCCAAGACTTTTTCATTCAATTTGGCACTGAGATACAAATAAGCATAACTGAAATAATCAGACTTATACCTTTAGAAGATCGCCCTGGTAACAGTCATTGTCTTAGTGCATTTTGTGCTCCTTGTATAAAATAACTGAGGCTGGACATTTATAAAGAGTTCATTTATCTTGTAAATTGGGTGGCTGGAAAATTCAAACAGCGTGGCATCATGTCTGGCAAGGGCCTTTGATTCAGGGTAGAAAACCAGAAAGGAAAATGTTCACATGAGGTAGGACCAAGCACTTGCAGCGGCCTCATTTTGTAACTATCGGCTCTCACAAAAGCTAATCCAATACTGTGAGAATTACATTAATCTTTTCCAAACTCAAGGAGATTCCTGAACCTCATCACCTTCCTCTCTGCTCCACTTGTTAGAGCTCCATCTCCTCACAACACCATTGCAACAAGGACCAAGCACATGAATTTTAAAGAAACAAACCATTTCCAAGCTATAGCAGTAATTCTGACTGGGATGGGAGAAACCTCATAGAGGAAGTGGTGATGAAGAAAGGTAAATAAGTCAGCTGGGGAAAGAAGCTCATCTCTGCTAAAACAAGTTCTACAGAGAAAGAAGAGGACACACGATGGAGATACTGCAGAAGTAGAACGTGAAAGTGGGTGTCATGGTTTATGTCAGTGGCCCCCAGGCCTCATACAACTATGGACTCAACCAAATCTAGGGTTTGTGATTGGTTCCTTGTCTAGTGCTCAAATTGGTAGTGTGAGTGCTACGCCCACCCAGAGGTGGAGCCAGCATATGGTGTAATGGTGGGAAGAAGATATTTCTCTGGGTTTGCACCTTGCTGTTTGCTGTGGTCATGAACGGTGGCCCCGCCATGCCACACTGCCTTGGAGCCAGCTGAGTATGGACTGAAACCTCCAAAATGATAAGAAACAAACCTCTCTTCCCTAATTTTGGATGTCAGGTATTTTGTCTCAACAATGAGTAAAGAGTAACTAAGATAGTGGGTTATTGAGTAGTGACTAGGGCTCACCTGACAGTGAAAAGGAAAAATCAACTCTGTCATAAACCTGACTTAATCCATATAAGTAATAGAAAGAAAGGTCCAAATGAACAGTGGAGGAGTCTAACACAGATACAGAGAAAAGAAGGGGAAGTACAAGAGAAAAAAGAGGGAAAAGAGGAGAAGGAGCAAATGAAGTAAGTTCTGAACTTGCTAAGTGCTCAAGATACAATCAGGTAATAATGTCAAGTAAGTGGAACAAAACGTAAGTATAGAGTTTGTAGGAAGATCTGGGATTTGGTAATTATCTACATGGAGGAAATAACTGAAGCTATGTGAGCAGATGCAAACACAGGAACAGATTTGGATATATTCTCAAAGGAAGAAGAGCACTGGCTCTAGGATAAACAGGGCACAAGAGTGCGTAGGTAATGATGGAACACAGAGAGCGGCTGGAACAGGAGAATCCAGTGTAGAACACCTGAAGCCACAACAAGAACTACTTTCAGGATGACATGGGAATGGGCAGCCACTGGTGATTTTTATAAAAATCTTCTACACAGATTGAACAGAACTTTTATAAATGTATATTTTTGTCATTTTTAAGAAATTGTCAGGCAAATGTTGCAAATATACAGGAGCAGGAAGGCTGGTACAAAGCATATTTAATGCATGGAAAACCCCACCTGTCCCTGTAGAAACACATTTCGGCAGAACAGGGAGCAGAGCAGGATGACAGGGAGCCACAGAAGGACTCTGCAAGGGACAGGTCTGTGCATGGGTCTGTGAGGGGGAAGCACTTTTCTTTTTTCAAGAAAAAGATTTAGAAAAATATTTGCTGAAAGAGGAAAAGGCAATAACAAGGGGAAGATTGAAGCTGCATGTAGAGGAGGAGGGAACTCTCAGGTGAGTTGAGGGGATGGGAAAGAGATGGGAGAAGTGGGCTAGGAGCACAGGACAGAGCCTCGAAAACCAAAGGCAGGGATCTGCCTTCCACTGAAGAGGAGTGGCAGAGGTGGTAACCAATAGAAAATGAAGCTGAGGTACATTAAAAGGCTAAGAGAGGGAAGTTGAGGCACTCATTCTTGATGGCTCAAGGGATAACTGAGTTTAAGAAAGGCTTCAGAAAAGCTATGAAAAGCAGAAAAGCAGTCTACACTCTAGGGGAGACTTTTATTCTTAAATCTTTAAATTCAGATAAAGATAGATGAATCTATCCATATCAAACATGTCAGTGGGTCCCAATATCAACAAAGAAGTTACATCTGAGCTTACAAACTTTAACATTTATAAAACAGACTAGCAATCTAGACCAGTATAGAGCACTTCAAAAATATATAAATGCTAGATTCTGTATAAATTGCTGACTCTCAGAAGAATGACTCCCAGATGTCATCTGAGAATATATACATTCAAGACTGCATGTCCTGCAGCATGTGTGAAAATTACACAGTGCTCTGTGTACAAGACTGGGGCACCAGATACTCATGAAATCAGTGGGAGAAAGATCTTCGCCATAGCAGATGCCAGGAACACTATGAAGCAGTGAAAAAGGAAATATGGTCCTCAGGCTGCAGCCCAAGGCACATGAAAGCTCCAAAACCATCTCCAGTCTGATTCAGCACCCAAAATATTGTACAGTTGTCCAGATCTTTGCATCCAGGGCCCAGGAGAGGTTTAAACACAAAAGAATCAAGTACAGGGAAAGCAAAAGTTCTCCGGTCCCTGGAACACCTCAAGTCCCGCAGGAAACAAGGAGCATAGCAGTGACACCAGTTCATGTATCAGGACCATAGGTCTCACGTGGAATTCCATTCCGTTGAAGTTGTTTTTATAGTCTTTAAATGTAGCAAAAGGGAGAACGCATTACATGCAGCAGAGAAAGCAGCTCTGTCCTGCGGCACCCACGACGTGGAGATTCTTCTTCAGTTGCAGCTCAGGAGACCTCACATCTTGGGGAGCAGCTTCGCTCCACAGTGGCTCTCAGCTTGGGGTTATTGAGCAGCAGAAAGAGGGAGTGGACAGCCATGCACAAATGAGACACTATGTTCCACACCCAGCTTTTAGCCTCGTGAAGTGGAAATCTGCTACCATTATTAAGTATCAGAACCAGAAAACTAGAGGTGAAGAGGAGGGCAAAAAAGATGATACTGAGGAGAGCTCTGACGTGGGCCTGAACAGGGGCATCTTGAAATCCCGAGAGGGTCAACAGGGTCTTCTTCATGTGTCTTCCCAGGGATATGAGGAGAATGACAATGAAAACAAGAAAGATTCCAAACGGGATTGAAAAAACAGAGATTTTTAGAAAGAAGAAGTAGGAGTTTTCAAATGACCTCATGCTATCCCCGGTAGCATTCCAATATTGGCACTTGTCCCTGAGATAGTGCTGATATAGTACATGATTGCCTGTGAAGAATAGGATGGTGGTGAAGCCAGAGAAACCCACAGAGCTAAGGAGGATCCACGGTACCCACCTAGAAACCTTGCCCTTTAGCCACAGGAAGACAGGATGGGTGAAGTTTGCAATTTTGACACAATAAAAGAAACTGAGCCCAGTGCAACACCATATGGTGGCAGTGTTCAGGAAATCCCACAACAAGCTTAGGAACTGCATGACAGGGTCATACAGGAAAGCCATTGGATACAGAAAAAAATAAGTACTCTTACCTATCATTACCCACTGAAGGCAGAAGCGAGAGGCCCCTAGGCTGACCAATAACTTATTATAAGGCGACAGTGTTCTCCGTTGCAACCATTCCGTGCCCAGTGCTACAATGATAAAACCGTTGCTTATCACAGTTGTCAGGCACAAAAGCAATACAATGAGAATGAGAGTGAGGACTTTCTTGTCAACCACCAGATGTCCTGAAGCCATGTGATCTCCATTCATTTCTGCTGAGCACAAGGTGGGATTCAAGATTTCAAGGACCATTCTTGATGGGCTGCTCTGGAAGGTCCTGTATGATGTTTGTCTCTCCAATGGCCCCAAGTACAGGTCTAAACCGGTGGAGGGAATGTTGGCTGTCAGAGAGAGGAAAAGAGGTCTCTTCTCTTCTGAATGGATGCAAATATTGTTAAAGCTAAGTTTCCAAAGCTCCCCACCTGCTTGTGAATTTGCCTGCTCTCCTGCCTATTCCCTATTCATTGTCACCCAGGGTATGGATAATATATCATGTCCTGCGTGTAGTATCCCTTACATAAAAGGATCTACTTCCCTAAGCTGACACCTAAGACAGGGCCACACACCTGGGTCAACTCAGAAATGAAATTCATTCTTTCTGCTGAGTCAAAGCTGAGATCCATGAAGGACAGCAAGAAATGATTTTGTTCCAGGTATCGGTTCTAGTGCTCTGTGGTGCTTAGTTCTCACAGTGGCCCTAGGAAGTACACACTATGAGAATGCCCCTTTCACAGAGAAACAAAGAGAAAAATGGCAAAACCTGAAGGAGGTTAACTCCAATTCTATTCCTGGAGGGTCCATCATCAAAAACAGACCATAAATACAATTCTATATAATGAAGCAGACAAATTTTTTCCAAAATTTTTAGAGTATCTTTTAATAGTGACCTTTAAAGTGGTGTCATACAGAGAAACTCCACCAAGACAGTTGTTAGACCCAGAGGAGATGGCAGAGAAAGTCCCAGCCTAAGAGTCAACCAGGCTTCAGTGTAATCCCCAGCCCTCCCTCTGGGTTCCTGGGTATGATATTGAGCCCCAAACTGATTTCCATGAGCAGGGATCCTTTCCATAGTTAGCAGCACAACTGACACCTTATGTTCTTCATCCTTAGTTGGACTCAGGAGGTAGGATTTTGTGTCTTGTCACAATTAAGAGTTATAAAGCCACAGACAGCCATTTGAGCCCCTCTTCCCATACCTATGAAAATATGAATCACAAATAAATGTAATATTAAAAATATAAGAATATTTTAGAAACTATAAGTTCAGGTGCAGAGAAGTGATTCTGACCAGATGTGATAGTGCACACCCATAATCCCAGCCTTCAGAGGCTGAGGCAGAGGATTAACAGTTCACTCCCAGCCTGGGCAACATAGCAAGTTAATGAAGTCTTGAATCAAAACTTAAAAATAGCAAAGGTTGAGGGTATAGCTCAGTGCAAAGGCCCTGAGTTAAATTCTCAAGACAACAACAACAATAAAAAGTGAACAAGGGGGAGGAGGAAAAAGTAACTAGGATAATGACAATGATGTATTTATATTGAGCATTTCCCATCCAGTCTACTTGTCATAAGTAGCCCAGAAAAATTTAGGAGAGCATCAGGGATACAGTAAGACCTAAGACATCAAATGTTAGGCCATCTGATACAGGAAGCAAACACTGTATTTCCCACAGGAATTAGCTATGAAGAAATTTTTTAAAACATCAATAATGGACCACCAGATGAGGGTAAGTAGGTTAATGTGCCACCAGGGAACAAGCAAGTAGAAATTGTTCTGGGTCCCTTATAGCAATATTGAAGAAGCTCAGGATTGAGCAATAGGAAAATAAGGGCTATTTCAGTGGTACCCCATCTTCTGGCCAGCACCATGATCTACTAGTTCTTTGCATGGAACCCCATAAAGAGAAAATAGAAAGCAAAGGGTTTGGTGTCTCTTTCCATTTTCTATCCATTCAGGTAGAATTATCTCTCCAACAAAGGGGCCAATTGTAGTGAATACTATGTGCCTGAGTCAAAGAAAAGCAGTGAACAGCTGTTCTCATTCTGCCTTCTTGTAAAAATTAAAATTTCTAGGGAGCAAAACTCCCCAGTGCCGTCTTCCTTGGCTTGGATTCCCTGACTGAATTTAACCTTTTTCTACTAGGACTTGGAGGAGTGAGGAGAGCGGTGGGCTTCTAAGTCGTGCCAGCATGAGCCTCCCAGTATGGAAAACTTGTACTTCTTATGCCTTCAATGATGGTAAAATAAGAAAGGTATGAAGTGAGCCCTAAATTCACTTACCAAGTTTTTTCAGTATTTCTTATCTTGTAATAATTCTATGAAAGCACTTAGATTACAATAATGAACTAGATATCAGCCCCCAAAGTGATTTCATGCTCTAGTGATGTACCACAAATATCCCCTGAAACTATGCCATGTGTGGATCAAGTTAATTCAAAAGAGAAAGCAATCGTTGAAATAAATTTAAATATGTAATGAGCTCTGTGCTCTAGGTAATTTTTTTTGTTACTGTTTGTATTTTGTGTTTGTGGAATTTTTTTTGTTTTCTTATAGTCAAATGTTTCTTCCTAGAAGGAAGCCAAGTTTGAGAATTTTAAATTTGCTGTCTTTTTTTTTTCCCTATCTTTTTGAGACAGGGTCTTGCTGTGCAGTTCAGGCTGGCCTTAGGCTCACTCTGGTGAGACCAGCTCAGGCTGGTCTCAAACTTGCAACAGCCTCCTGTGTGCTGGGATTGCAGGAGTGCACCACCACGCCTGAATACTGTCATTTTTATAATGTAAAATCAGGAAGGTGTATAAAAACCCAGAATAAGTTAGATGTTCTCAACTCACTACTCTATCAGAAATATTTGTATTAAAAGGGATGTCGTATGCTGCAGTTCTAAACAGTGTGCATCATCCTGTTCCCATCTCAAGAATTCCTAGAATAGTTCAGTGGAGCAAAAGTGCCATCCTTGTGAGATAAGAAAGATGCTATTTTGATGTTGAAAGAGGACAAAGCATTAGTAAAAGAGGTAGAAATTAGATTATGTCCAGAAGGATTAGACATCTAAGTTTGAGTACCACAGAGGATTCACAGAAGGGCCTGCTTACACACTCGGCAGAAATGTAGGCTGAAAAAGATCACAGAAATCCTAGACAGAATGATAGAAGGTTTTATCTGTAGAGATGAAGATACTGACTACATCTGTATAGTCAAGATGGAGCCACCAAACTTTTCTGTGCTCAGGAAAGGAGGTTCAAAACATCCACAAATGAAGAATCCCTGGTACAAGCTAAATAGACTTAATGTAACTCAAACATGGTAGGTCATAAATTGCATCACCATGCCCCCCACCCAAAGGTCTTCTGCCCAGGGCCAGACAGGCTGACTTCCAGATGCTCCCAGCTGAAGAGAAGCAATGGAGCACAAACCCGCAAGCTTCTGCCTTCACTGCCTCTATCCAGCCCATTTTTGGCTTGAGGCTCATGAACAAGGGTCTGTCTCCACTGTTTATCATCACCCTCTGTAGAAAGTCATCAGTTCACTTGTGTTGTTGCAAAAATAATCTCTGTGATTGATGGTGAGGACAGTAAGTCTTCTCTACATTTCGCAGGCCTTGGGGGCCTATGAAATTGAGTCTGGATACAGTAACAGCTTCTCACAGATCTCTCTCTCTCTCTCTCTCTCTCTCTCTCTCTCTCTCTCTCTCTCTCTCTCTCTCTCTTTCTCTGTCTCTCTCTCTCTTTGTGCTTCTTGCCAGGAATTTAAGTATCTCATTTTTTAAAGCTTCAGTTATTGCTTCTGGCTCCAGGACTAGATAAGAGCACTGATGCTCATGGAAATAGCAGTAGAAACATCTGAAAAGTATCCCAGATGAAGATATCAGCAACACTATTCTTCCTACCGAAGTCCACATTCTCTGGATAAGAACCGATGCACAGTTGGGCCTCACCAGTTCCTAGGGAGCCAAAAGGCCACTCGGGCAGCCATTAAGAAAGTGGAGAACCAGGAAAAAGTGAAACAAGCCAAAAAATAAAGTTTTCCCCACATGATGGCTAGGAACAGATGTGCCATGCTTTGTGTTATAGTGGCTGCCTTCTCTCATTTTTTCCTAATTTTTCAGATATTTTCAAGGCTAAGCAGTCAAGTTTGTGTAAACTTATCCCAGCCCAAATAATGCATAAATGCTTCTATCATAAGCTTTAGGGGTTAGCTTTTCTGGTAGTCCTGTTTGAACTAGTCACCAAACTAGTAACTAGTGGGGCTTCATCAGGGTCATTCTGTTAGTTCCTGAGACAGGAGAGTAACAAATAGAAAGTTTAATGTATTCATCATTCAATAAATCATTCAGACACTGCAAACAGGAACTATACCAATAGATAGTTTATTTTTTATTTTATAATACTTTCTAAGATGATAGTAAGGATTACTAGGTAATGCATAAAACATATAAATATTTCTTACTAGTCTTCTCTTTTAGGAAAAAGAACACTTTGATAGTTAAGGCCAGAGGGCCATTAAGTGGGAAAGACACAGATGGTTTCTTCAAGAAGACTGACCAACACCATAACAAGGCCCTTTCTTGAGTCCAGAGATATCCTTTGTTTGACATTCAGTAGAATTCCTCTTCAGCTACTAGAACGAGCAGGCTAGAGACAGCTTTGGCCTTTTATGACCCATTTGCGTTTTATTTTTTGTTTTTTGAACCTCAATCTTTGAGTACTTACAGTTGGTTTAAAAACTAAAGTTTTGTGGTTGAAAATGACCAAAAGACTAATAAAGCTTCAGTTATCTTTTTACAAGAAAAAAAGCTCATTCCCTTGTTATCTCATCTCTAGTCATTCCTTTCTCCTCTTGCTGTACTAACACAAAGGCAATCATCTTTTTGAAATTCACAGCTCTCTCTATTCTGTCCTGTTACTTATTAGGCCTCATTTGACCAAATCTGGTCTGTTCCTCAATCTCTTTTTGTCTATTGACCTCCATCCTTTTTTTTTTTTTTTTTTTTGGTAGTTATTTTTTTATTAGTACATTTTTGTAGCACATAATGTTTGCATTCTTTGTGGGGATTGTTACATCATTTTATAATACATCTTAATTCCTTTTTTATCCTTTCTCTCCTTCCCTGCTCCATTCATCTCTTGATCTCTTTCCCTTTTTTGTACATGCTTACAGTACATCATGTTTACATTCCTTGTGTGGAGTTAATACATGCCCACAGCACATCTCAATTCTCCTTTTCATCCCCTTACTGTCCTCTCCTTCCCCTTCCCTCCATCTCTTGATCTCCTTCCCTTTTGAGAAAAATCCACCTCCCTACCTCCTGTTATCGACTTTTATTTTACTTTCTTATTGGTGAACTCCAGTGAGTACACATCTCTTCAGCCATAGACCAAATAACTGTGTTCTCCAAAATTCCATATGTTGAAACCTTCATCCGCAGACACACTATTTGGAGAATGAGCCTTTGGTGAGGTAATTAGATCAAAAGAGTGGCGCCATCACGAGCAGGGTTAATGTCCTTATAAGAAGAAACACAAACAAGTATCTTTCTTCCACACAGCAAGAAAGTATCTGTCTGCAACCCAGAATAGGTCTCTCATCAGAACCCAGTAATGCTACCACCCTGAATTGCAAGGAATAGAACTGTGAGGAATAAATAAATAACCTCTTAGTCTATAATATTCAGCAGTCTAGCCAAGGATGTAGCTCAGTAGCACAAGCACCTGCCTGGCAAGTGAAAGTCCTGAGTTCAATTCCTGATACTATATATGTATATATATATTCAACAGTCTGAACTGATTAATATGCATATTAATTATATCATGTACTATTTTATTGATACATTGTACACACATTAAATACACACAAAAATAGGAAGTTGAAGATTAAAGCAAACGGAAACTGAAACTGGAGTGTTCTCCTTTCCACGCCCAGTGGTTCACCCACACAAGCTACAGCCTGGAGACCACCATCCTGGGAAGACCAACAGTCACGTCATGGGTGAGCACACCGACAGGGTAGGTCATCAACATTAATAATTAGGGGACTCTCTTTTTTGCTCCATCAATCTTCTGTAAGTCCAAACCTAAAAACCTCCCACAGTAGACAGCTCCCTTTGGGGGGGGGGATTGAACTCAGGATTTGTGTGCTTTGTTGCTGAGCTATATCCCTGGCCCTAGACAATTCCTTTTATCTCCCCATGAAACAAACACATGAATTCATGGATAGGATCTTAGTGGGACAAAACTTTCATGTGTTCTCAACTTTCCTTGAGATCAAGTTGAAAAAAATCTCCATGGATGGAATCAAGTTTTAAGCAGGGCTTGAAGGGGGCAGAGAAAGGAAAGAAGAAAAGAAAAGAGAAGAAAAAAGGAAGAGGGAAGGGGCTGGGGATTTAGCTCAGCAGCATAAGCACCTGCCTTGCAAGCAGGCAGTCGTGAGTTCGATCCCTGGTACCGATAAAAATGAAAAAGACAAAAAAAAAAAAGAAGGAAGAGGGAAGCTCCAGTTCTTTGGTGGACTGAAGAATAAACAGTGGGAGGGAAGGACTTTATGGAAAGATAGAAAGGGCTAAACAGAGACTGAGCTAGCAGCAGGGTAGGGAGGGAGGACAGAGTTGGCTCCACAAGGCAGGGGGTGCTGGAGAATCTACACCACTAAAAAGCAACAACTTTTCCCACAGAGATAACTGACGATGGCCACAGGTCCTCATCAGGATATTTAAAGATATTTAAAGATATCAGGATATTTATGATTGGTTGTACAGTGAATCAGAGAGGCCTGTGAGGAGATGAGACCATCGTCTAAGGCAAAGGTAATTCAAGGCTCACAGAGAGACAGAAAAAGAACTAATGGTTGATGGAAGGAGGTGAAGGGGAAATGAAAAGAGAGAATACCAAACCTTGTCAATTCTTGCTATACATGAGATTAGTCATCGCAGTTCTGGTTATTGATGCTGATTGCTTAAAAATGAAACCAGTCTTTGTCCAGGGCCTTTAAAGGCAGCACAGGTCCGAAAACCAGGTTTTCAGGACCTTTCTCAGCTTGGGGCTGCTTAGCAACAGGACCATGGAGTGCAGGAAGATGCCTGCATAAAGTACTGTTTCCTTGACCCAGTACCAGGGATTCCAGATAGTTATGAGTTGCACTCGAGAAATGAACTGAGTCAGGACATGCAGTACATAAAAGATGAAGAAGAAGGAGAGTGACCTCAGAGCCACAGTGTGTGCCTGGGTGCTGCTATCACAAGGCCCAAGCATGCACCCCCTCATCTGCTCCATGTGCCGGTACAGGGAGAACATAAGCAAGATGATGGATCCCAGAAACAAGAGAAGCGGAGTGAGCCACATCATCAGTGAATGCCAGAAAAAGTACCACCGATGAAAAGTTATAATGCTATGAGACAGGGTGCAGTTTCCATGGACACTTTCAGAGGTGATGGTCTGAATGGTTACTGCATTCCCCACAGCTGTCGAGGTAGCTGACAGGACACCGAAGAACAGAGCGCTCAGCAGCAGTCTGGGCACTGACCGAGAAATCCTCCACTTCAGCCAGAAAAAGACAGGATGGGCAAAGGTGGAGATCTTCAGACAGTAGAAAACAGAGAGCCAGGCAGTAAGCCAGAAAGTAAGAGTGTTGACGAAGTCCCAGAAGATGTCAAGATACCTAGTTCTGTAGCAAAAACCAAAGAAGTTTACCAAGTTGTTCAGGATGCTTATGCCATGCAGGCAGAGCCGGGAAGTAACAAGACAAGCCACCATCATGTCGCCTGCAGGCAAGGTTCCACACCGTAACCACTCCCTGCCCAAAAAGGTCACCATGAAACCATTCTGCAACACAGCAGCCAACGACACCAGGGAAAAGATGACCATGAAGAACAATATGGGGAAGGAGGGCATCTTCTCCAGCAAGAACCTATTCAGACCAGCTCCTACTCCAGAAGGGACACATCCACAGGGAAAACAGAATCACCAGACAAATCACCCAGCTGAGACCAGAGACTCAGAAACCCCTCTCCCTGGATTTATGCAAAAGCCCAACCACCTGCATGGCACAGGTACTCCAGGATTTGAAATCAGAACAACTGCAATCTCGTTGGCATGTAAATCACTTCCAGCCCTGTGACACATGCCTCTCTTTGGGTAATCTTATATTTGCCTGTTATGCATCAGAGCCAGGTGCAGGGAAATATTAGCAGAATACAGGTTCCAAGGGTAATTGAAAAAACACCCACATTCTGCACGTAGTTTATTTTTTTTATTAGTACATATTTGCCACACACAGTGATCACTTTCATCATAAGAAATTTGTGCCTGTACAAAGTATACCTTCTTTTTTTCCCCATTCCCCTCTTCTTCCTTCAACCCATCTTTCCTTCCCCATTTATGAAGTTTTGTTTCCAATTTTTTCCTTTCTATCCTCTTTTTTATTCCTTTTCCCTTCCTTCCCTTCCCTCTTTCCCCTCTCTTGCTCTTTCTGTAGAAACAAGGGCTTCCTACTTTCCAATGGTTGCCCTCCATTTTGATCTTATTTACTGTTTGGGTTTCTCAGACATGAGAAACAATGCAATATTTAAACTTGTGTGTCCAATTTATTTCACTTAAAATTATGACCTCGAGGTGCATCCATTTACCAAAAAATGTCTCAAGTTTATGCTTGTTTATGGCAGACTAAGACCCTACTATATATAAACACTTTCTTCATCTGTTCATGTTTTTTAATTAATTAATTTTCTTGGTACATTTTAGATATACATAATGAACATATTCATCAGAATCTATACTTGTACACGATATATTTTGGTTCCTCTTTTTGTCTTCAAGACTTAGCTATGATAAATTGTGCTGCTATAAATATTGAGTATGCATATTTCTCTATGACATGAGGCTTTTAACCTTTTTAGAAAGATACCTAGAAGAGGAATAGCTGGCTCAAATGGAACCTGTTATGGATTAAAAACTGGTGGTCAACTTAATGCCAGTTGAATTAAATCAGCATGGTGCTGAGCGTAGATGTTTCACCTGAGGAAAGTTGCCAGCATAAATAGAGACTTGGAGAAGATGAATGAGGCATTATGGGTTTCTCTAAGTGACACTATTTGAGCCTTTGGTTCTCCTGGAGGAGCTCATCATGACTAGCTTCCCAGTGTGAGTTTGACCATTGTCATCAGAGGAGGTCAGGACCGTGTTGGTGAGAGTGGCTATAGTTCACTTTGGGGGAGCTCTGGCTTCCTGGCTCCAGAGGGGAAGACATGTACTGTTTGATCTCCAGGACAAACTCGTCATGCTGGTTTTCTGGCACGTACTCAACTGTTCTTATCTTTGGAGGAGCCCAGGGCCTCTGTGTCACTGAGGATGGCTGTGGTACTTTTCAGGACAGCCCTGGTCTTTGTTTTGAGTATGACTTCTCGGCTCCAGCACAGAATCCTCAACCTACCAGCACAGCTCCTTCACCCCACTAGCACAGACTTTCTAGCTTCCACCACTGACGATTAGGCCTTCTCAGCACAGATCCATAAAAAACACTGGTATGAGTCCTCCTGGGCTCTAGACCTCCAGTTGGACTCTTGGGAGGCATTATCATGGCCTCTAGATTTTCATCTGGCATCATATATAGGACATTGCTGTGGGATCCAGGACCTTGCCTGAATATTCTGGGTCTTTAGTGTTGTGGATAGATTTCCTGTGCATTCTTGTGTTAACTCTGGGTGACCATCATAAAACAATATAAATTCTGTGTCCTGATTCTAATTGTTCTCTGCACAACCCCTGACTACAACAGATAGCCTAGCTTGAAATTTTTTGAAGAATTTCTATACCAATTTCCATATTGGTTGCACCAATTTACATTACCACCAACCATAGAAAGGGGTTCCTCTTTCCCTATAGCCCTGCCAGTATTTGTTGGTGGTTGATTCCTTGATGATAGACATTCTTTCTGAAGTGAGATAGAATCTCAGTGTTTTAATTTGCATTGTTTCGAATGATCAATGATAACTGAACATTTTTTCATATATTTATTTGCTGTTTGCACTTGTTTCTTAACTGTAGTATTTCCTTCCTAACTTTTCTTCAAAAGAAAGTTTCCATTATTTCTTCCCCCAAAACACAAACCTTCCCTGTCCCTTTATATCCTCAGTAGATAGCTTTTTTTTTTTTTTTAATCCGTACTGAGCATCGGTACTCTGGGGATTGAACTCATGACCACCTGCTTGCAAGGCAGATGCTTATGCTGCTGAGCTAAATCCCCAGCTCCTATTAGTAGATAGTTTCTTTAACAGCCTCTAGACACCACATTAAGACTCACCTCCAGAATAATGAGATGGTATGTTGTCTGCATGTATACACAAGGCTAGGAATTACAGAGAAAAGCCTCCCTTGGTCACTGACATCTCAGGCTGCCAAAAATTTCACTGCCTGGCTCTATGTTAGAGTCCATGGTATTTCTGTCTAAAATGTGAGCTCCCTGACTCACACATCAAATCTGTTAACCACTAATTCCTTAGTTCTAATGTGTTTGGCAAATCAAAATTCTTCAGTTCCTAAGAAGGGTTGGAGGGATAAATAGTGTAGATAAACATGAGAACCAAGGAAAGACAGAAAAGGAAAAGTGTTCCAGAAAGTGTGTCCCAGAAGGGGCCAGGAAAGCAAGAGTGGGTAGCATATCAAGAGGAGAAGCTCAGATCCAAGCTGGGCCTCAAGAAGGGATTGCTCCATGTAGGATGATCCCTGTCCTATAATAATACTTAGACAGTGACAACCAATTTGCCATGGGCCTTGTCATTCATGAAGTGACTCCATGCATGGAGCATTTTGCCTTCATCACCAACCCTGACCACCTGCCACACAGAGTGACACTGGTTCCGCTCAGTCAGCCAGGCTCAAGTCATGAGCAAGAGTCCAGTTAAGATAGAATGGAAAAAGAAAGAAAGCATATGCACATGAAGAAAACACAGCAAAAACTAAAAAGAAGAGAAGTATGAATTCAGATGTCAAAGATTCTAGAGTTAGGGTCCTCTCTGATGACTGACAAGAAGCAACCCTGCTGCCAACTTCATTTAACATCACTCAGGATTCCACAGGGGAGGGTCTATATGTGAAAAAGCTTAAGAAACATAAAGGCCTGATAAGTATTTATACGGGAGACCCCAACAGAAAGAGACACAGCTAATGCTCAAGTACAGCTCGTGATGGAAGAGCTGCTTTGTTTTCTAGTAAACTTTCACAAGATTAATCAGATAATCTAGCCTGATCCACAGTTTGCAGCCAGCTCCAGTGCCTTCACTCAGTCCTCTGCACAATTTCCCCCTCCCCCCGGCTTCTTCCTGGGGAAGAAGAGGTGAATGACTTCTGTATGTTTCACAACAGTTTGGCTTTTCTCGAAATCCCTTGGTGAGAGACCAACTTCATGATGTCATCAACAAGCAAGTTGAGGCCACAGCACACACACACCCTATGGCAATGCTGTGTAACTGAGTGTGCACTGTGTAATACAAACACTGTCGTGTTATATAGTCACTGAATCTACAACTATTCTCCCTTCCCCAGCACTTCTCCTTCTCTGCAATATGTAACGCCACATCCATCTTCTCATGGCTGCGTGACCTTCTACAAGAAGATGGGCCAGGTGGCCTTCCCTCAGGCATGGGATCATCCATTTCTCAGTGATTTGCTATTGCCCCATAAATTGCCACATCCTATTCATACTTAGCCTCCAAAACATACCACAAGCAGGACAGTAGCTTTAGCTGTCGTTAATGTTCTTCAAATAGGAATGTGCAGTAATAAAACCCAAAATGTGTAAATTTTGTTGTAAAAAAGAGGGGGGGGGGAAGTGCTCTAAAGGATACAACTGCAAGTGTGTTTAGGGGTGTTAAATAGCTGACCATATTAATGTTTTTGGTTGGATCATTGAACACAACTGTTTGCAGTCTCTCTGTTTGAATGTTCACTTTGTATGCTTTGATACTGTGACTTGAGCAACTATCTCTAAGACGATAATGTGTAATCTATTAACTGGTGATTTCTTACTGGTTTTTTTTTGCAGTTCTGTATTACTTCTACCCTTACACTGCTTTGTTTTGTTTTGTTTTTTCTCTTTTTCCTTTTAAATAAAATTTTTTTTAAAAAAATAGGAATGTGCAAACAAAATAGTGTTGTTTGTTGTAAAAATCTGGGTCAGCTTTCTGTTTTCTGTTTTTGAGGGAATCTCAAATGCAGTTGATGAATCCACATCATTGGCAAAATGTGTCATTAGGATGAGGCCTGTGTCCTCTGCAAAACAACACCAAGAGGATGAATTTCAGGTGGAAGATTCTGCAAAACGCTACTTGCTCTTCCTTCTGTTTTGATTATCTGCATCAGTAATTATTTTGGTTGTTTATTTGTTTGTGTTCATTTGTGTTGCATTCTGCTTTGGTTTTTCCTTATTACCTTTAAGCATGCACTGGGCCATATACATTTCATTTAACAGGGCTTATAAATCTTGCAGTTCATTTTCACTCAACCTTTTAGGGACCTCCAGTGCATAAACACTTCCATATTCTACAACCTAACTGATGGCCTATGCCAGGGAAAGGCAGAGGAAGAAGGAAATAACAATGTTTTTAATAGCTGGACTGCATATTAAGGTAAGCCATGCATACATGTAATGATTTGCCTACAAGAATTAGTGCTAAATATCTTTTTCTGACCCAATAGACTTCTCATACTTACATTTCAGTAAATAAATTGACTAAATAATTTAAGTAAATAATTCAGTGTAAAACCTTGATTCTAATAGCAATCCAGTATAAAGTGGACATTTGGCTCTCTGAAAGTAAATTTGAAAATACCCAGTATCTTCAGTTACCAAATTATGGAAGGACATTTAATATTGTTCCATGTTCAATTGATACTTT